CCATCGCTATAAACACTTAGTACTTAAATAAAAAAAAAATTACGGATAAAAATAGAATGACGTCAATTCTAAATTCAACGTATCTAACAAGAAAGAGGAAAGAACGAACATTTTATTACATCTGAATACTTGAAAAATAGGCAGGAAATTTAAAGAGAAAAAGTAGGCGCAAACATTTAGGAGCAAGCCGAGAGCGCGCAAATTTTGATTATACTCTATAACAGCTTTTGTTTGCGGTAACGCGAGTAGTCTGTTCTCCTGTTTGAGATATACATATAACTAATTAACAAGAAGGCCATCAATGTATACAGTGATTTCGATAACAGGGACGTTTATTAATTAGTTACGCTAATTAACGAAACTTACGTCACAGTAAACCGCAGCCCAAACCATAGAACAGGTTAGTAATTGAAGTTGTCAAACAAACTTTAACAATGTTGGCTAAAGTCAATGCTGTGCCATGTAACGATGTCTGGGGCGAGATACAAACAATTAGGTACACAGTTTTTCCCAAATCTTCAGCTTGCTTTGTCAAAAATACAAATAAACGGAAGCACGCTTTTGTATTTGCTTTACTTAGAACATGCTAAAAGCGTGTTCATTTCCACGTTGCTAGACCCAAAGTTTACAAGGTCATTTACAAACCTACATTTTCATTTCAATGTAGTTCGTATAGTTAATGTTTAGGCAATTCCCATTACAAAAAGTCAAAAAGTCAAAAATCATTTATTTCAATTAGACCACAGTAGGCACTTTTGAACGTCAAGCAAGCAAAAAAGGAAAAAAGTATATAACATGAGCTTTAAAATTAAGCGTGTCAGTCTGTCCGTCTGTCCTCTAGTGAAGCTATTTGCTCGTTCCAAAGTGTAGATTCCTATGGAGAAGAACGAGCAAGAAACTCCATGGTTACTCTTTTTCAATCAGTTTTACAATACATTTCTTTGTTACATCATTTAGTCGGTTCTGATATGTGAGAACAATGTAACACTAATGTTCAGGCAAAAAGTACGAAAAAGAAGTGAACCTCAAGGACAACATATTTAGACAGCCTGGAGATGACCAGTCCCAATAGGCGTATATCCCATATAATTACGACTAAGAGATTGGAACCTTTAAAGCTAGTTTACAGAAAAAATTACAGCACCTACCAACTAACCTTATGACAAAAATAAATTATTAAGTTTGCTCTTCTAATTTGTTATTTACTAATGCAATAAAAACATTAATATAATTAAGTTTAAGTGCTAACAGGAACATCAATTTCAATAGGTACTGCCAAAACGTTGTACATAAACGTTGTTTACATAAGTAAAGTCCTGATTTTGTGGGTTTATTAGGTCACTGTATAAGTCAAACAACCTAAATACCAAGAATTTTGGAAAACAATTCACTAACTTTATTTAACTGATATATTTTACCAGCACAACTAGGTACTATTTGGTAATTATTTTGAAATAGAATATTTTATTATCAAAACAGTGTTTACTATGAGTATAAGCTGACTTTGACTTTGACTACACCGTTGGCGCGGTGACTCGGCAACTGGCTGCCGCGCAACGTGTCGCGGGTTCGATTCCCGCACAGAACTCTTCGTGTGATCCGCAGATTGTTGTTCCGAGAGATGATTTCCGGATACCGTAAGCGCGGGTCTGCGGTCGGCGAGTAAGGGCAGCTCGCCGCCCGACCAGAACCCGGCCCGAGCGTACGGCGCGTAGCGTTCCGCGCGCGCCTCAAAGAGCCAATAGACCACCACAGACGAGGCCCTATAGGGCTGACTTTCAGCCCATGGCCCAGAGCAGGAGAAAGAACAGGGGGGTTTTTAGTCAGTAAGAGTCTGACATTCTCTTTCACCCGGCCCTGGGCGGGAGAAGTCATTGGATTGTTGTTCCGGGTCTGGGTGTGATGTGTATGTGATATCGTATGTTTGTAAACGCACCCACGACACAGGATAAAATCCTAATGTGTGGCAACGTTTTATGGATTTAATCATATATAGGGATCTATAGACAGAGAAAGCGACATTGTTTTATCTTGGTTGTGATATTAAGCTATCCTGTAATAATGAAGAAATCTTACACGAAAATTCAATAACAAAAGCCAGTTTTACCGGTTTATCGAAGGGACATCCGAACGACCCTCGAACCTCTTTACTAGAGGCTTTCATTGTTCCCCTGAATTCCGATAGACGCTATGTGCAAGAATTTAAGGCTGAAAATTAATCGCATAACATTGCACCCGTTAGTGTGAATTTTTGCATCGCTTTCTGTAGGAACTTTGCATTTTTCTTCATATTTTTTGAGATGCTATTGAAGTAAATATTTATTAAACGTTGTTTTAGTATTTTAATTGCATGTTTTAGTTAAGGTATAATCTAAAGAAAAGATATTGAGTAACCCGAGATTTTTAGTTAATTTAGTTTGTCTCACGATAGTTATTATATGGAGTTTGTTAAGAGTCAGATTTAGTCAGCAACGAAAACTGATGAAAATGTGGACACTATGGAAACATTATTTCCCATAATTTAAGATTGGTGATTGTTTCTACATACCTAATTAATTTACCTGAGTAATTAGTTAGGGTAATTGCCTATTTAATTTGTAATTACATAGTCACAATAAACAAGTTAATTTTTTCATTTTTAATCAAAAATTGGTCAACCTTCGTTATGCAATGAACGCTTCATGGCCGTCTCCAAACAGACAGAAAAATATGATGATCATGGCATGTAGAAGCCAATAGACTAACACAAATGGGGCCAATGTTCAAGCGAGTTGATCGCAATAATACCTCCTGGGCGATGTTATACCACTCTGGGCAAGAGAAGTATTTTCATGAATCAAACATCATAAAACATTAACCCAGGTGTTTAGCCGAAGTCTAAGGAATATAGAAGAGAAAACAACACTATAGTCAGAATTTTAATTCGATTCCTGATTTGACATGACCTGCTGTCATTTTGTGAAATAATGATACCACATATAAAAGTGTAGTGATGAACACAAAAATCGATAAACAATCCGTGAATCGGTTTCAGGAAGGCATTCAAAAAATTACGGCTACCGAATGGTCTAAATGCGTATCCGACGTTGTAAAAGAAGAGGAAAAAATGAGTAAGCTAGATATGTTAATTGACAATAAATATCACAGACACAAATCATAATAAATGTTACAGAAAATAACAGCGATAGCGATAGCGATGACGGCGACAATTTATAAAATGTCTGTTTTATTTGTCATGTTCCGTCATGATCACATTTTTTATTAATTTCACACACAATTACAAAAGAAAAGTCTCAGATCGTTAATTAATTGTCAAAACTGAATTATCGGTTCAGAAATATTTTATTTCCTGATAAATTTAGTTTAAGTGAGTAAATTATTTATAAATGAGGGGAATCGATTCAGAAATATTCGATTTCCATATCGAATAATTTCTTAACGTCACTATTTAGTAAGTGTCATAACGTTGCAACCCTGAAATTGTCAAATCTGGAATGGAATTAAAATTCCGAGTATAGAACACTATAACCACTCATGCATTAAATACCTAGATCAATTTGAATTTTGAAACGCCACTTTGACCTGCAGAATGCAGAAACATTCTGCTAAATTAGAATAAATTTAATGTCACATTCTCAAAGAGACTGTTTACACAGGAACTCTTTTGTGCATTACAGTGCTACAAAGTAAGTTAAAAATTTACATACAATTATGAACAGATTATCTTGTTCATCAGACGCCATTTAACTTCTGATCTTTGATCTGTGCATTATGATTCGATCAAGATTGCATTGAAAACTACATAGTTGCATAATATCTGCGTTGTTGTGAAAGAAGTATTTGCTTTTAAGTTAGTAAGTAATGCAAATAATAATTTATTTGTACCGACATACATACATAGATATACATTTTATAAACCCAACAAACTGCCAATTTACAATTTGTCAATGGGATTAGCGTTGTTTAATAATATGTACAATTACTCGTATTTAAATTTAACATGACAGTATATAAGTAACTAAGTGGGTATATCCACGTTTTGCCGGCAATTAGCACTTATTCTACCAGTGTTTTGTGTTTTGTTTTTTTTATCAAAAATCAAGATATCCTAATCTCGTATTACTTAGCAGTAAAATAAATTATTATAAGGATTAATTGGATGGATTTATAAGTGGCTGCTGCGGTGTTTGACGCTGATTAATGTTTGATCCTTATTGCCTAAACTATAAAGGACAATTAGAATGTAACTAAAGTAACATAATACTATCTGACTGACGTATATTTCATCATGGTGCTCTTGTATTTATTTTGCCATATTGTGGAAGCGCTAAACCAATGACCTGAATTATATCAGTAGTCATCGCCGTTCGTCGGGAACAGCAGACGAGATAAAACATGATTGTGTAGGCTAAATAAAACTAAAAATTTAATTTTAATGTGTTCCTAACCATAAATTGTAATTAAATCACAAATTGATTCCTATTTTCCTACTACTTATAATACGATTAAAAAATCCTGCGGGAAAATATTAAGTATTAGGTACCTTTGTATATTTTAATGCGAATCATATTTATCTTTCAATAAGTAATACTTTTCCTTTGAAACTCTTTGAACAAAAGTTACTTTTGAAGTAATCTTACACACACTAACATATATTTTTTTTTAATTGAAAGCCTAATAGTTTTTTATACATACGTAGGTGCGTAGTTGAACAGCAAATGTAATGTTCCGTACATGTTTAAGTACATACTTAATTGAAAAATTACCGTTCTATCGAAGAGAAAAATAAGTGTCAATTTAAAATAACAATAAAAAGTAGCTCCGAATATTACTTACAAAATCTAAAAAGGGTAATATTGTCTTAATATGGCGATCCAATAAATCATTAAGTGATACATCGATCTAGGAATTGAAGCTTATATAGTTTATGAGTTATATATAGTTGAGATATCAGATATTATATAGTTTATGAGTCTAAAGGTACAAGTTTGTATACTAACCTTATAAACTCCAAGTATCAGGAGAACACAGGCGACGAGTCCTATGGTACTGCAAGCCAGCAACGTAATGTTGAGCGACACCGTAACTAGAAGAAAAAGATAAAAATCAATAATCCACACATACTCATTCAATACAAAGAAATATTGAAATTTCTGTTTTCAATATAACATGTTATTTCTTACTAAACCCTCGTTTTGTATAGTAGAATAAATATGTACATATCAATCGTCATTCTCATGTGACATAAATATGTATTGTAGGTATTGTAGAATATGTGAAGTATTCAAATTCAAAATTAGTGCGGAAATTGTGAGACAGACAATGAAAAGCCTGATAATCTTACTATTGATATAGGTAACTCAAGCTACGTAATAAAATTTTGCTCAAAACGATTTCTCTGTGAACTTTACAGTCTTCAAAAAAGGTTTTTTATGCCTTCTTTTGGGCTGGCTGGCTTTTGGTTTGTTTCTCTACATTTAACTCAATATATTACTGAATCTTATAAAAATTTTGTATCCATACATTTTTGATTGATTCAAAATCATTTTATAGTTGCAGTACTCCGTTAAGAGCTCCAATAATGTCATCTATTACATGTTTATAATAACCACATACCTAATATAGCATTAGCCACATGTTCAATTTTTACAAAAAAAAATTAATACCTACACGTGACGGTATTTCCTATGGTACCTACATATTTTATATTAGATAAATGAATTACCTTATGATCTTAAAATTAAGAAAAATGCTAATTAGACATAGCGGTCCCTAGTCAAAAATGTAATGTTAATGTGTTCATTAGGGGCCATCGATAAATTAAGTCGCATATCAAGGGAGGATAGGGGTAGATGAAGTGTGACATAGTGTGATATTTTATAATTCATTACAATCTACGCGGTCTTTTAGCTAGTTATCAATAATTTTAAACCAGTTCAAATATTTATTTGATTTTATACATATAATTACATGGAACTTATGTTTTGATATTAATTTAAATTGAAATAAGAAAAAATAACAAATGTTAATCAAATTATTATTTCGTAATAACAATAAAGTTTGCATAATGGTCACACATTTCACAAATTTCATTGTGTGAGACATTTAGAAGAATCTCACAAATGTGACAAGCTGTGACAAGGTCGGGGAAGGCGATACAACATAATTCAATTCGTGCGACGTAAATTATGGATGACCCCTTAATAGAATCTCCATATATATTTATACGTATGAGCTCTTAGTTATGTCCGTTTATGGGTTATATTTAATACTTCAACTGTAAATCCCATTTATTCTCTTTATTTTTTTGAGACCAAGTACATGTCAGTCCCATCGTACCTTATAATCTACTTAAAACTATTAAATTTCATTTTAAAAACATATTTAATATTACCACCAAAAAAATACTGAATTGCACACAACATTTGCTCATCAAATATAGCAATTATAGATAACTATGTATGTACATTGTTAGATCTGTAAGTTTACTGAAGGACTATTTGATAATAAAAAGTAATTTTCTTCGTCTTTATTCTAATCTAACCTTTTATTAGCTTAAATTCCTAAATGTTTGTGCGGTTAAGAATCCCCTTTTTTATTAGGTTTATTTATTACCTTCGATCACTAACTTTACAATAGGATTTTTATTCTTTGCAAGCATTTTTGTTTCAAAACTTCAAACTGAAAATACCCACAAAGACCAATCACAATATGAAAATTAATTCAACGAGAAAATGGTCGTACAAAGTTTTCCTTTCTTTAGAGCTATGTATTTGCAAAATATATGAAAGTTTAATATTTATTGACTGTACTTGATACTTGAAGAGAATTAAATATGACTGCTATAATAATATTACAATATGCTATATTATAGCAAAGCGTACCTGGTTAAATGAAAAGGTTCTATTGAATGTGATTGAGTTACAAATTGGGAAATATTTTTTCAAAAAATTTATAAGTACCTCTTATTAGGATAAAAAATATATCCCCAAATTGGAACCATTCGAAGAGACCCTCTTGAAACGATTTATTTGAAAATTTATCTGCTTTATTCTTATCATTTTCTTAGCTGATACTTCCAAAGTACTCCCATGATAAAATAAGAAAACCAATGGTATTACAATTTGCTGAAATATATTCACTACGCACGTAAAGTATGTATACTCAATACGGCCACACAAATAAGACTTTATAAAACAAATGAACTAGATCTTCGTTACTATATATTCATAATTATATCTCAGAAAAATAGCTCGTTATTCAATGACTGAATAAGCTGACGTCTTTGAAAACCCTGACGTAGATTATTATAGAAAATAACTCTATTCAAACCCCCTTCAGCTATTCTCGTAAATCACTCAAATATAGATTTTTATCTAAGGACGAACAGTCTTTGATTGCCTCGTAGTTAACTTACATTGAAGTAAATAAGAGAGAGAAATTTATCTCTTATTGAGATCAAAACAGAGTTCAAAATTATCTAGTAGATACTTACAGAAGGGTGCAAACAGTTTTGAGATGGTCAGTTTTATTCCATGACGTGGCAAGCACGATTTTACCCGCCGCAATGTTAGAACTACGTAAAAAAGAATAATATTTACATTACAATTAAATTATTGAAATTATTACTCTACAAAATTAGCTACTTTACAAAAAAAAACTAGCCGTGTGGGGATTCTAATGCGGTGCTAAAAGCACACTATTTTAAATTATTTTCAGTAATTAAATGTTTTTATTTTTAAATCAGTGTTATTCTTTTGTAAATTTTGTTTTATTCAATGATTTTCAGGAAAGGTATGTGTATATAAACTTATGCGAGTACGTTTTAAATTAGGCATTACAATTATGCAAAACATTAACTAGATAGTATTCAGCTTTATGTTACTTTTTAGGTTTTTTAGACTTTAATACATTTCGTATGAGTGGCCCTTTCATGATTTTGGATATAGGTTGAGGAAATGGTAGAAGTATCTAGAACTGTAAAGTACTGTACGAAGAATTTAACCTTAAATTATTAAATCGAACTATTCGTAAGCATTTTTTTTTTAAATAACGTTGTCCCACACTCGTATTTTCTCCTGTGTCGTGGGTGCGTTTACAAACATACAAATTCACATACACATCACACCCAGACCCGGAACAACAATTTGTGGATCACACAAAGAGTTGTTCTGTGCGGGAATCGAACCCTCGACACGTTGCACGGCAGCCAGTTGCCCAGCCACCGCGCCAACCGTGCAGTCAGCATTGCTTGTTCTGTTTATCGCCCTAAAGCTATTTAAAACGCCTTAAAAAGGCCATGGGTAAGTTAGATGCCAAATTGTTAGACATTTTTAAAGAAAATTGGTTGCGTGTTTTGTTAAAGCAGGGTGTACCTACACTGGAGCTAGTTTCCTAGAAAGCTTATTCTCCAATAATGAGCCGCATCTCACTTTTTATCAAGGCTTTATTGATATTTAAAAATTGCAAATATAAGTGCCGCAACATGATCGCGCTACTATTTGGGCAAATTGTTCGGAGAATGCTGATGTATATGATATGTGCTGAAGTGCTAAATAACCCTAAGTCTATGGTTATTGAGTGTGTCATACTTTCAAACAAAAAACGTTACTCTGTAAAATATTTTCACACATACGAGTATATATTGTATTTCCTTACAATGTGACATATTTTTTCTTTATGTCATAAGTAAGAGTTTATCAGCATAGTTGGGTTTAATTCAAACCGCTGTTGTTGTCTGTTATACTATAAAATCTTTGTTTCAATTAGACGTTTCAAAAATAATAATTTGTGTTATTCTTGTGAATGGCTACGCATAAGTTATTAGTTACATCGTATCCTAACGCCGTTATTGATTTTTGCAGAGGAATCTGTTATGCCTCAAACACCACAGATGGGACCCAACAAGGCTGATGGAAGCAGCCAGGGTTGCGGGTCTACCGGAATCATATACCACGGTCTCGGCCTAGTCGGCCTGGAGCAGGAAAAGGAACGAATTTTTTGTCAGCAAGAGTCTGATGCTCCATCTCGCCCTTTTTACCTTCAGAAAGGGTATTTGTTACATAATTAAGTTAATCATTGCTATCAGTGCTCGGACAGATTGGCGAAGATTGTCACTCACTGGACACCAGAAGGAGGTCGACGCCGTCGAGGTCGACCACGGCGAAGGTGGTGTGACGATCTGATCATGTACGCGGGGCTAACTTGGCCGGAGATCGCTCTAGACAGAGACATTTGGAAGGAAAAAGGGGAGGCCTTTGACCAGAAGTGGGACACACGATAGGCTATAAAAAAAACAGTGTTAAAGATGTATGTATGTTACTTATGTATTCGTCATTAATTAAATAAGAAGCTAATATTTAATGTACCCCACATTCGTTTCTGTCTATGTACAGAGACAGACATGGCTATAGAAGCCCGCATTAATTAATAATAAAGTAACAATGACATGAATACACACAATAGAAACAAATTCCCGTACCTATTAATTAGCTTACTTGCCAAACAACAACTTTGTTTTGGGGCCTGTATAATTATGTAAATCATGGCTATGATATATTGAGTACGTAGCTATGTACCTTAAAACATTGATATATCTTTTTGATAAAGCTTTTTATGCTGTATACAAATAGTAGTAATAGAATAGTTTTAATTATGGTAAAAAATGTTTAATCAAAATAAAAAAAATACTAACGGTAACTATATTTCGACTGCACGGTTGGCACGGTGGCTGGGCAACTGGCTGCCGTGCAACGTGTCGCGGGTTCGATTCCCGCACGGAACAACACTTTGTGTGATCCATAAATTGTTGTTTCGGGTCTGGGTGTGATGTGTATGTGACATTGTATGTTTGTAAACGCACCCACAACAAAGGAGAAAATCCTAAAGTGGGGCAACGTATTTTTAAAAGAAAAAAATATATATTAATTTACATTTACTAACCTCAGCTTTTTTGAATATTTTGTTAATGCACACAAAACAATAGTTTTTATGAATATTACTGAGATGTTTTTTTATGGAATATTTAATTTTTCATTGAATGCAAGATGATTTGTACTACGAGGGAAAATTTACAAGGCCGAATTAATCGAAGGGTTTTGTTACGAAAATAATTTTCGGAAAAAATGGCATATAAAATAAATAAAACAATGTACTATATAAGATGAAAAAGTAAGGCAGTCTCTTTATCGTATTTTAGATTGATATTGAAGGAAGAGAAGCTATTGTTGCAAACGGCCGATATAATCAAGCCACGGTTGGTTTTTATAAAATGTAGAAAAATAAATTCCCTTTTTCAATTTCAGCAATAAAGCGGCAAACCGTAGCTGGCGTTAATAAGTCTGGAATCACTTATTGTGAAAAATATTATGAATTGTCGTCTCTGACAATCTAATCTGGTATTCTCGTCATACCTTTGTCTCTTTTCTTTCCATTTTTCCCCAAATAACTAGACGTTTGCTGCAGAGTCTTAAGTATTCGGATTCTTAAATATTTTAGAAGAAGCCAGCTGTACCCATATTTTGCGATGATAACTTCATCAAGAACCATAGTCAACTGGAATTCGGTTGCAATATACTCAGGTGGTTCAATGTTGAGCCACAATGTCTAAACAAGTGTCTGATTTTCTTTTCCTATATGTACCAAATATTAACAAACATTTGCGAGAGTTTTATTTGCTTTACATTCTCAGCAACGGTGGCGTCCTAGAATTTAGTATATTTTGCAATAAACTGGGATGTCTGTCGTGCACCTGCAATATGTTGGATATCAGCCGTTTTTAAAATGTACCTCTGCATAAATCTTCCATTAGCACTCGTAAAATACAAATACACATATGTTTGTGTGAAATTGCATTGATGTTTAAACTTAACCAACATGATGATAGATAGTATGAATTAATATCTATAACTAAAATTGTGTATGTCTGTGTCTTATGTTATCGCTTTACAATTCCAAGTTTAACTAACTAACGTAATCTCATTTTAAAAAGTTCCAATAGAATTATAAGTAAAAATAATAAACTTAATTGCAATAGTATTATTAAAAAGCTAATGCATAAATAGCTCATGTACCATTATGCTTTGCCAGAACAACAAAACCTCTGCAGTAGTATTATATAAAAAAAACAATACACAAACCAACACAAGTTTACCTACTTTCTAACATTATAAAGCTGACGGGCGTACCTAGAACATGTGCATTGTTTACTATAAGAGGCTCAAAGAAAGCTGGTGACAGTCCTACCTAAGTCTGGAGTAACGCAGTACTACAGTCACTTGAACTAATAGCTGTGGGTGCTAAGGTGTAAGTGTCGACTCCATTAAGCCTGTCTGCTATCGGCTGGTGGCAATTTAATCGGATAGTTGAACGAAAATGTTTACTCACTCGGCGTAATCTTGTCCGGTTCTAAGAAGCTTTCCGATTCAGGTTCGTTCATGTCACCGGTTAGGTAGCGCTGTTCCATCTCGATAAAGTGGCCCATTGTCACTATTGTGACGGAAAAGTAGACCTGTCACAAATAATAGTATCCATTAAATTATTATTTTTATATTATAATTATATTTTTTTATTGTTGTTTGTTGTAAAGTACTACTTAAATATTAAACGAAATAGATTTTTGATAAGTATTTCATAAATGTGACATGTCAAAAACTGGTCGCAAATCTCCCAGCTGACATTTATCTAGTTAGGGAATTGAACCCTGCTTGATAAGGCCACCGCCTGCAGTTGATACTCCATATTTGAATTTATGTCTATGTATGTAATCGATCTATGTATAAAAATATGTTTAATTACCATGGTGTATATAGCTGAGGCGTAACAGCCTCGGCGGAGGCTACGCCAACAACAACAGGACTGTATAATCGGCATGGTCCTTCGGTGTACAATCTGTGAAATAAACAAAACACTCTATAATATTCGTTACCATCTTAAGACCCGTCCTAATTTTTTTTATCTACTCGAAACAATTTTTGATAAACACTTGAAAACAGTCTCAAGAGGCATTTCAGACAGTTCGTATTAAGAGAGAAAAATATAACACTTATAACTACTTATACAGATATTTTTTTTTGTATTTTATGTAAGACTTAATTTTTTTGTTAAATATTTTTTTACCTATGATTTCAAAAACACTTTTCGTATATCTAGTAAACAAATTTGTTTTTACTGAGAAATATAATAAAGGAATAAAATAAATAAAAAATAATATAAAAAACATATATATAAAGCTGCGGGCAAAGAGAGAAGACAAACAAAAAATAATGTATGTTAATACCGTTTTATGCTCTTTGAAACAACTGTTATTAAATTTAACATATTTAATAATTACATAATTATGTTAAATTCCTTAGGGCTGTGTTAAATTGCAATTAAATGGCTTTGTCTCAGAGTATGAGTTAGTAAGGTATTTTTGTTAAAAATATATAGGTATGCATTTAGAATACATTAGATAAAGAAGAAAATAAGAGGAGGTATGAACTTTATTGTATGTTTCTTTCAGTTTCCATTCTCATTAGAGCAAAATGTTTATTTGCTATGCATAAAGTATCAATAGGCAAACTTTGGATAGATGAAAAACGGTTATTCCTATTATTTTCTATTTACAAATTAATTTAGCCAAAAATCCAATATTTTTACTCATTAATTTATAATCATTGGTAAAAATCCCTCGGAGACTATTTGGACGGTTTCATACATCGACGTGAATTTGTTGTTCGTCAAATCCCAGAAGACAAATATTTTACGGATTGGTCGATACTACATATACTATTAAAAGATATAGGCAGTTATATTTTACGACAGGTGTATTTGATTTAGTAATATTAACTGTAACAACCCTCGCATAAAGCAATTTATCGTTATATTTTTATCTGGGCCTACAAACGTTGACACCTGCCCTCTGTACAATTCCTGATATAATAATTTAACGATCAATTTAGATTAATGTCAGAAAACATTCTGCGGCAGTTTCGTTTCCCAGCCCCCGACTCAAATGTCTGCCACAAAAGGTTCCTTTTGATGAAATAAGTAATAGCGGATTAATTTCCTTTGATTCCGACATTCAAATAAGAACAAATCAAAATTTTTACAAAGAACGTTTTTTTTTAATGCTGTTGTTGTGTAATCAATGTTTTAATGTATAATGCTTAGCAGATTTAGTATAAATGATTTTACATACATATATGTATCTATATTGAAAGAAAATAACAAGCACAAAATCTAAAATAAAAGTAGAAAAATTCGCAAAGCTTCGAAATATCATTGTAGTAAATGAGTCACGCTACGAAAATGCTACGAACACAAGCTGACGAACGGGCACTGACATCGTAGCACGTTGGTGAAGGTTGCTACGAAGCCAATGACCGCTTAGAACCTCTCCAGATGAACTGATAGACGCACGAACATTATGTTAACATTCGTTGTCTTATTCCAATCTTCAATTAAAATATTACTTTTTTACTGTGAAATATTTTAGTGACTTGTAAACATGTTTGTTTTATTTACACAGGACAATTTAGCATGTAAAATTTTTAGTTACTAGCTTTTGCCCACGACTTTGTTTCGTGTATCGTAACTTCCTGCAGATTTTTTGTTTAAAAACTTGTAGGAAGTCACTTTGCACATTATATGTCCTTTCTCGATTTCCAAACTATGTCTGTACCAAAATTTCACACAAATAGGTTCAGTAGTTTAGGCGTGAAGAAAAGACAGACAGACCGAGTCACTTTCGCATTTATAATATTAGTTTGGATAAACTTGAATAGCAAAAAGAACGTGTAATATTCAAAATAAAATGTGAATTTTAAATTAAAGTTTAAAACAAATAAATTTAATTTAATTAGATCGTAAAATCGTTGTTCATATTTAATCATAAATTTAAAATACAAAGACGTCGTATAATAGAGAAGTAATAAAAATTGAACCCGAATGAAAAAGGTTCTATTTTTGTTTTGTTGGCTTGGCTAAGCATAAATTAAATTATTTTTGGTAAAATTACAAATGAACTTTTAAATTTAAAAGTAATCAAACAGTATTAAAGTATAATTGTGATTGTGGTATGGAAATTGTGGATAATTACTGTTAATGACGAGGGCGAAATAAAGTTCAAAACAACTTCGAAAAGGTGGAAGTTGTCCATTTGCTTATGACTAGCCACGGTGTCAATTGTAGGCTTATTAATGTCGACGATAGACCTAACACAACCAACTAAATTATAGCCCTTTGAAAAATTATAATAGGCCATGATTGACGACATTTTCGGAGTACTATTCTTACTTTAAAATCTTATAAGTCTTTAGATTTTAGTACTATCTTCTATTTAAAATTTTATTTCTTTCTACGAATATTCAGTGGTCTCTTTAAATGTTTTTTTTTCTTATCTGATCTCGAGGAAGTTCTGATGGTAAGCAATCGGCGCCGCCCATGGACACCCGCAACACCAAAGGAGTTACGAGTGCGTTGCCGGCCTTTTAGGGATAGGAGTTGCGGATATAAGGATCGGGAAGGGATAGGGGAAGGGGAGGGATTGAGCCTCCGGTAACCTCACTCACACGGCGAAACACAACGCTGTAAGTTGTTTCACGCCGGTATTCTGTGAGGCCCTGGTATCACTCCGGTCAGGCCGACCCATTCGTGCCGAAACATGGCTCTCCCACACTTAAAAATGAGTTTAGAGTTACTAGGTAAGTATAGAGTTCAAAATACAAATCTGACTCAATGGTTTAAAGGTAGACTAAAAAAATTTTGTTTTTTAGAAAGAGCAAACTCGTTTAAAATAATATTCTATTATTTAATTGATTAACACAAACAAATGTTCATAGTTGGCTGTAATCCACACTCAACTAAAACTGGTTCATCGGAGCGACCTATATGACCAATAGGCCGCATACTGTTCAACATTGTAGCTGTGGAGAGGAAGTTGAAAGTTAGATCAAGGAAGCTGCACGCTTCACAGATAGTGTACGAACAATATCTTTGAAGCAAATGCAACCCTAGATTAATATGGGTAAACATTTTAAGAGTTAGGTATGTTTCCAAAACGTGAATATATTTAATTTTGTTCGTTAACCTGCATGTAACGGCTGTTGTTGAAAAACTTCACGAATGTATTTCAACTCATTGGACTTATTACGTTTTTTTTTCAGAGGAAAATCATCAAATGAATTCTCCCGTCCAGGATAAAACGAGAGAGAGTGTCAGACTCTTACTGACTAAAAATCCCCCAGTTCCTTCTCCTGCTTTAGGCCGAGGCCGCGGTGCCACATTGCACTTACCCCGCAACCCCCGTTGAACATCAGCCCTGTAGGCTCTTTGAGACGCGCGCGGAACGCTAAGCGCGTAAGCTCGGGTCTGGTTCTGGTCGGACGGCGAGCTACCCATACTCTCCGTCCGCAGACGCGCGCTTACGTTGGCCGCAGATCTTCTGTCAATTACCGACGCCCAGAGATATACTTATTATGGTGAAGTAAGTTTCAAAAGTTTTATGGTAGGTATTTGTTTCATTACTCTATGAGAGTAGCAGTTCAAAAGGCCGTCTTGTAGGTATCTATTACAACTTAAATAAGCTTACTCTAAATGGTACAAGATCCAATCTGTTTTTACATACACCACACCGATTTTACCTGTCTACTTTTTTTTTAAATAATAACAATCTTAGTTCCAACATAAAATTGTTTGTTGCGTAGGTAACGTTTTCCAATACTTAACAAACTATTTAATATAAAATACTGAACGTATTTTACTAGCCTTCATAGCATCAGCAATTTAGTTGCAGACAGGTCAGGAAGAAATCTTCGTGCTAGTCTCCGGCGTCGAGTAATCGAGTATTATACAAAGTTAATCCTTTGAGCTATCTTTTGCATTGACTATCGAAGACAGTTCAGTATTTTTTTGTCTCCGGTTGCAATAATGCAGCTTAAGCTCAAAGCCTCGCCATTTCCGTACGCCTGACGTGTTTGCTAGGCCGAACCATTTCCGTCAACGATTGACCCGGGTTAGCTCCTAGTTTTCTCTCCATAACTAATATTTAAGCTTGATTTGCCTTCAGAAGATAAGACTTCAATATTTTTCTTAGTCTGAGATAAGCAGCGCAGCATATTTGGAAAGATTATGTCGTGAATGTGTAAGATTTTGTAAGAAGATAGATATCTCATGAATTAGTTTTAAGTAATTACATTTATTGTCCTTTTTTATATAAGATACCTATAACATAAGTGTAAAGTAGTGAAATGTAAATTTTCTAAGTGTATATATTTTGGCTTTTGCTGTAAAATTATGCATGTGTGTTTATAAATAAAAAATAATAATTTTACATAATAGATTTCAATGCTTTGAGCCCTGGTTAAATTCATTTCCTGTTTTCAACCGTGTTGGACAGAATGATGTTTGAACCCAACTAAATCTGGGATTAGTGAGGGCTTACCTACGCGTGAACAAAAGTTAGTAATTTCACAAAAGCGTAATATTTTGCAATGGTAATATTGGTACAAATGTGTGCACTAAGATTAA